AACCCCCCCCCCCCCCTTCTCCGTTCTTGTTCTCTCTTCCTATTTTCTTCTTCTACGGTGGAATCTTCTTCTTTCCCCATTCTTTCCTTCAATTCCCCCTTTCCCATTGGGAAATGTACTAACATTCAATTAATTGCTCGAGTTGGTGCTGCATCAATTTCCCTCTATTATTTTCTCTCCTTTCACTGCCTATTTTTCCATCAAATTACTTTTCCGATCCAGGAGGACACACCTTTCACGATATATTATTCTAGGCGGGTTGAAACAGAATGTTGCTGAGACATGATAACAGATAAATACTTCACCTGCCTAATTGACACGGGAATTTTATTGTGACGACTGGGTGCAAAAACTGGCCACATATCTTTCGGCAATTGAGCCTGCTCAAATGATCAGATCAAAGGCACTGATTTCAGTAGCAGAATTACAGGACAAAAGAAAAATGGCTTTAGGAGAAATAAAAATTACCACATACCAGTAAAGGATAATTCCCTTTGAGAATGGAATTGTCCTCTTTGTTCGCTTGTGCTGCATTTTTGCTTAAGACTGCTGTTTTTCTGGCCAGAACTTCCAAAGCCCATTTCCTTTTATCGCACTTCGTGTTGTCAGATTTACCCTCTTCCTTCTCAGAAGGTACCTTCATGCCACCTAATGTAGACTTGGATGATCCTTCAGAGCATTTATTTTGATGTACTTTACCAGAAGCAGTTCCATCCTTAGTGCCCATAGCACTCCTTCTTGTACCTTTAGTATCTAATGTAGGAATTTTACCCTGCATTAAAATATCATTCTTTGGTGGATTTGTGCAAGAGTGGACGCTGGTAGATGAAGTTGATGATTTTTTAGTTGAACCATCTTCTTTTTCCAGTGCAGGTGCTGCAATGGATTTGAGGGATGACATAGGCTCAATGTCACACTTCCGTGGCATAACAGATGCATCTGCTAAATACAATCTTGAAAGAATAGAACCACTTCTCTCGCCATCATTCTCAGGAAGTTTCTCTGTGTAATCAGATCCATTTCTTATCAGGCCAAGAACTGACTTCAAGGTCTCAATTTTTTCAGATTTTGTTGTTTTCAAGCAGCGATGTTTCCAAAATTCAACTTCACAATCCCGGGTCCATGCTTTTCTTCGCCTTCCGTTGATCCCATATATTTTTCTCGTTAGACTTTCACGTATTTTTCCCTTCTGCAACTGTGACTTCTTTGCCTTCAGATCCAGAGGCAGCTTCTTACTTTCAGTTTCAGTCGCTGATCCTGCCAAAGCAGTCCTAAAAGCTGCCAGAAGTTTCGGATCAAAAAGGTTTTGCCCAACCTCTTTCGAGGATCTGTTACGAACAGCTTCTCTGATTTCTTTTCTAAGCTCTTGAACTTGAACAGATGAATCCTTGTCCTCACCACCTCTCCTCATGATCTTTTTGAGCCTCAAACCAGAGGTATTTTCACTTTCTTTGGAAAGTGTGCTAGATGAATGTTTATGAGCAAGCCGATTCAAAGATTTACGATTTGTTCCCTGAACTATAGACATTATATCTACCTTACCATTTTCCTTTGTAGATCTCGGTTCGTTATCTTCAGAGACAGCGCTCAAACTAGAAACTACTGCTTTGGAGTCTCCTAAAACAGATTCATCAGCTTGGTTCTTCAAAAGAATCCGCCCTCTGTTCCTGTCAGCTTTGACTTTCTTCAGAGCATCTTTAGCCTCAGTTTTAACTTTTCTTTCTCCATCCTCAGCATTTCTATGAGCATCACAATGGTGTATGATGAAGAAGGTAAGTGAATGGAATGAAAAGGGAAAATCTACATCCAAAATTTTGTTCATAAGAATTAAGGCCAAAAGAACATTAGTTCAGTTTAAATAGGAAAATCTAATGAGGTAAGATTTGCATACAAAGAGACATCATGGAACTCCAGAATAACTCCATGAACCGATGGTCAGGT